ACAAAGGGCCTCTTTGGGGCCCTCTTTGGGCCCCTTCCTTTGGATTCCCCGGTAGGTTTCTTCAGCCAGATTGAAGAGGGGGCCCAGGAGAGTGTCTGTGCAAATTTTGAAAAAATCGTAGGGGCCGCCCCATTGGGTCCCAAATTTCAATTGGGTCCCGTGGGCCCCAGGTGGGCCCCATCGAAAAATGTTAATTGGGTTTTTTGTTTGGGAAATTACGCTCTTTCCAATGATGTGCATATTGCCGGGGTTTATCGCGAAATTAGGGGCATTACTTAGAAAGGGCCTCTTTGGGGCCCTCTTTGGGCCCCTTCCTTTGAATTCCCCGGTAGGTTTCTTCAGCCAGATTGAAGAGGGGGCCCAGGAGAGTGTCTGTGCAAATTTTGAAGAAATCGTAGGGGCCGCCCCATTGGGCCCCAAATTTCAATTGGGTCCCGTGGGTCCCAGGTAGGCCCCATCGAAAAATGTTACTTGGGTTTTTGTTTGGGAAATTACGCTCTTTCCAATGAAGTGCATATTGCCGGGGTTGGTCTCGAAATTAGGGGCAATACTTAGAAAGGGACTCTTTGGGGCCCTCTTTGGGCCCCTTCCTTTGGATTCCCCGGTAGGTTTCTTCAGCCAGATTGAAGAGGGGGCCCAGGAGAGTGTCTGTGCAAATTTTGAAGAACATCGTAGGGGCCGCCCAATTGGGCCCCAAATTTCAATTGGGTCCCGTGGGCCCCAGGTGGGCCCCATCGAAAAATGTTAATTAGGTTTTTTGTTTGGGAAATTACGCTCTTTCCAATGATGTGCATATTGCCGGGGTTGGTCGCGAAATTAGGGGCAATACTTAGAAAGGGCCTCTTTGGGGCCCTCTCTGGGCCCCTTCCTTTGGATTCCCCAGTAGGTTTCTTCAGCCAGATTGAAGAGGGGGCCCAGGAGAGTGTCTGTGCAAATTTTAAAGAAAATCGTAGGGGCCGCCCCATTGGGCCCCAAATTTCAATTGGGTCCCGTGGGCCCCAGGTGGGCCCCATCGAAAAATGTTACTTGGGTTTTTTGTTTGGGAAATTACGCTCTTTCCAATGATGTGCATATTGCCGGGGTTGGTTATGAAATTAGGGGCAATACTTACAAAGGGCCTCTTTGGGGCCCTCTTTGGGCCCCTTCCTTTGGATTCCCCGGTAGGTTTCTTCAGCCAGATTGAAGAGGGGGCCCAGGAGAGTGTCTGTGCAAATTTTGAAGAACATCGTAGGGGCCGCCCAATTGGGCCCCAAATTTCAATTGGGTCCCGTGGGCCCCAGGTGGGCCCCATCGAAAAATGTTAATTGGGTTTTTTGTTTGGGAAATTACGCTCTTTCCAATGATGTGCATATTGCCGGGGTTGGTCGCGAAATTAGGGGCAATACTTAGAAAGGGCCTCTTTGGGGCCCTCTCTGGGCCCCTTCCTTTGGATTCCCCAGTAGGTTTCTTCAGCCAGATTGAAGAGGGGGCCCAGGAGAGTGTCTGTGCAAATTTTAAAGAAAATCGTAGGGGCCGCCCCATTGGGCCCCAAATTTCAATTGGGTCCCGTGGGCCCCAGGTGGGCCCCATCGAAAAATGTTACTTGGGTTTTTTGTTTGGGAAATTACGCTCTTTCCAATGATGTGCATATTGCCGGGGTTGGTTGCGAAATTAGGGGCAATACTTACAAAGGGCCTCTTTGGGGCCCTCTTTGGGCCCCTTCCTTTGGATTCCCCGGTAGGTTTCTTCAGCCAGATTGAAGAGGGGGCCCAGGAGAGTGTCTGTGCAAATTTTGAAGAAAATCGTAGGGGCCGCCCCATTGGGCCCCAAATTTCAATTGGGTCCTGTGGGCCCCAGGTGGGCCCCATCGAAAAATATTACTTGGGTTTTTTGTTTGGGAAATTACGCTCTTTCCAATGATGTGCATATTGCCGGGGTTGGTCGCGAAATTAGGGGCAATACTTAGAAAGGGCCTCTTTGGGGCCCTCTTTGGGCCCCTTCCTTTGGATTCCCCGGTAGGTTTCTTCAGCCAGATTGAAGAGGGGGCCCAGGAGAGTGTCTGTGCAAATTTTGAAGAAAATTGTAGGGGCCGCCAGATTGGGCCCCAAATTTCAATTGGGTCCCGTGGGCCCCAGGTGGGACCCATCGAAAAATGTTACTTGGGTTTTTTGTTTGGGAAATTACGCTCTTTCCAATGATGTGCATATTGCCGGGGTTGGTTGCGAAATTAGGGGCAATACTTACAAAGGGCCTCTTTGGGGCCCTCTTTGGGCCCCTTCCTTTGGATTCCCCGGTAGGTTTCTTCAGCCAGATTGAAAAGGGGGCCCAGGAGAGTGTCTGTGCAAATTTTGAAGAAAATCGTAGGGGCCGCCCCATTGGGCCCCAAATTTCAATTGGGTCCCGTGGGCCCCAGGTGGGCCCCATCGAAAAATGTTACTTGGGTTTTTTGTTTGGGAAATTACGCTCTTTCCAATGATGTGCATATTGCCGGGGTTGGTCGCGAAATTAGGGGCAATACTTAGAAAGGGCCTCTTTGGGGCCCTCTCTGGGCCCCTTTCTTTGGATTCCCCGGTAGGTTTCTTCAGCCAGATTGAAGAGGGGGCCCAGGAGAGTGTCTGTGCAAATTTTGAAGAAAATCGTAGGGGCCGCCCCATTGGGCCCCAAATTTCAATTGGGTCCCGTGGGCCCCAGGTGGGCCCCATTGAAAAATGATACTTGGGTTTTTTGTTTGGGAAATTACGCTCTTTCCAATGATGTGCATATTGCCGGGGTTGCTCGCGAAATTAGGGGCAATACTTAGAAAGGGCCTCTTTGGGGCCCTCTTTGGGCCCCTTCCTTTGGATTCCCCGGTAGGTTTCTTCAGCCAGATTGAAGAGGGGGCCCAGGAGAGTGTCTGTGCAAATTTTGAAGAAAATCGTAGGGGCCGCCCCATTGGGCCCCAAATTTCAATTGGGTCCCGTGGGCCCCAGGTGGGCCCCATCGAAAAATGATACTTGGGTTTTTTGTTTGGGAAATTACGCTCTTTCCAATGATGTGCATATTGCCGGGGTTGGTCGCGAAATTAGGGGCAATACTTAGAAAGGGCCTCTTTGGGGCCCTCTTTGGGCCCCTTCCTTTGGATTCCCCGGTAGGTTTCTTCAGCCAGATTGAAGAGGGGGCCCAGGAGAGTGTCTGTGCAAATTTTGAAGAAAATCGTAGGGGCCGCCCCATTGGGCCCCAAATTTCAATTGGGTCCTGTGGGCCCCAGGTGGGCCCCATCGAAAAATATTACTTGGGTTTTTTGTTTGGGAAATTACGCTCTTTCCAATGATGTGCATATTGCCGGGGTTGGTCGCGAAATTAGGGGCAATACTTAGAAAGGGCCTCTTTGGGGCCCTCTTTGGGCCCCTTCCTTTGGATTCCCCGGTAGGTTTCTTCAGCCAGATTGAAGAGGGGGCCCAGGAGAGTGTCTGTGCAAATTTTGAAGAAAATTGTAGGGGCCGCCCCATTGGGCCCCAAATTTCAATTGGGTCCCGTGGGCCCCAGGTGGGCCCCATCGAAAAATGTTACTTGGGTTTTTTGTTTGGGAAATTACGCTCTTTCCAATGATGTGCATATTGCCGGATTTTGTCGATGTTATAGGCCTAAAATTGTTGAAAACGTTTATTTATGCCCCGAGGGCATACTCCCGGGCCCATATATTTGAAGCTGTTTTGTTCGGTTCAGGGGGGCGCTAGCCCCCTAAATTTGGTACCGTTGCACGTAAAATTTTGTCCTCTTTCGAATGACGTGCATTTTTAGCTGTTTTGACGGCTAGAAGTAGGGTTTTCAAAGTTCGTCGATTGTGCCCTGAGGGCATACTGTTTTTTGGGATTTGTGGCCCCCCTGATGGATTCCCCGCATTTTGGCACTAGGATTTTCGATAGAGGACACCATTCTGCACCTCTCCACCAAAATTCAGCGAAATCGTAGGGGCCGTCGATCCCTGCTGAATCCCTGCTGAACCCCTGCTGAATCCCTGCTAACTTCCGTTACATAACTCCGTATAACAATACACGCAACGGCTGGAAAACACTGCGCCGGTGCGCCAGAATTGACAGCATCGCCTGAATCTCAGCGACCAATCAGCTTTCGACCATCCCAGTGACGTCACATTGGCAGCATTTGGTAGCAATTTTCCTCCTATGGCCCGGTAAAGGGACGGACCCCCCCTGGGCCATTGTCAGCCATTGTCGTTGATAAGCGTGTGGGATATGACACGTGTCGCTCTCGTATCGCAATCGTCGTATCGTATCGTGTCGATGTGTTCGGGTTGAAAATACGACCTAAAGCTAACGTCATTCGTTTCGTTTCGTAAAATATGGTGCCGAAACTACCCGGGATCGGTTGGAATCGCTCGTGAAATGGCCGATCTTGAGAAACTGAAGCGGCGCAAGATAAGCGCTCAAGGGTGGCTCACTCGAACAGTTGTGAAACTCGAGCAAAGCCTGTCTTTGAAGGAGGTTAAAGTGATTGACCTCGAAAGTTTGCTCTGTGACTTTGATAAGCGGCTGAGTGATTTTGATGTTGCTGAGGAGCTACTCGAGCAAGAGCTTCCAGAAGATGGCATCATGGAAGCCATCGAAGCCGCTGGTGAGATCAGAGACCGTGCTGTGGATGTGCGAAACAAAGCCCAGCAAACTCTTGGTGTTCTTAAGGTGAAGGATGGGGCTGATGACTCGGCTTCTTGTGCCAGTGCGTCTCAGCTTGGATCAGCTGATCCTTCCGTCAAGCTCCCAAAGCTTCAGTTGCCCAAGTTTTCTGGCAACGTGCTTGAGTGGCCTCAGTTTTGGGATGCTTTTTCTGTGACTGTGGATGCCAGTGACTTACCCGAGGTGACCAAGCTGACATATCTCAGATCCTTGCTGACTGGAGAAGCAGCAAAGAGTGTCGAGGGTCTTGCGTTGTCAAAAGTGAACTACAAGACAACCTGTGAGATTCTCAAGGACAGGTTTGGCAGAAAGGAGCAGATTATATACAACCATATTCAGGCACTCCTGCAGTCGAGTTGTGATAAGAAGTCTGAAGGCCTTAAGTCTTTCCAGGATGAACTCTTAGTTCATGTCAGGAGTCTGGAGAACTTGGACATTACTGGTGAGAGGTATGGCGTCGTGCTGACACCTATCATTGTGTCACGCCTGCCTGAAGTGATTCGGATGGAATGGGCCAGGAAGAGTGCTGGTAAGGAAGCTGACTTGGAGTTTCTGTTAGAGTTCTTGAAGGAGGAGATTCAGTGCCGTGAACGCTCACAGACATTCAAGTGTGGTGCAATGGCCAGTGATTCTGGAAGAGAGACGGAGAAGAAGAGAGATCATCAAGCAGGCCGATTTGCTGGTCAGAGACAGAGAGTGGCTGCAGCGTCAGTGCTTCACACTGCTGCTGCCAGGTCTAACTGTGGGATTTGCCATGACTCCCACCCGCCGGCCAAGTGTCCGGAATTGCTGAAGCTGGCTGTAAGGGACAGGCCAGGGAAGATAAGAGACTCAGGTTTGTGTTTTCGATGCCTCAAGGAGGGCCACAGAGGTAACTCGTGCGGTGCGAGGTGTGATAACTGTCGAGGTAAGCACCACGCTGTGTCATGTTTCAGGATGGCTGCCCCAGCTGCAGCCCCAGTGAGTTCTCATGTGATGTCTCAGTCAGCTGATGATGTTAGAGCTCAAAGTGTGCCCAAATCACCCAATGTGAACCTGTCATGCTCAGAACCAGCTGGCAGTCAGAGTGTTGTGCTTCCTACTGCTGCTGTGTTAGTGCAGGGTCGTGATGGTAGGACTGTCCGAGCTACTGTCCTCTTTGATACTGGATCGAACAGATCGTATGTGTCATCTAGTCTTGTGCGCAGATGTGCTCCTGAGTGGGTTGAGAGCAGGGAAATATCTTACACTGCATTCGGTGGCAGTGAAAGTGGCTCTAAGTCCAGGAACATCTATTGTGTTCAGATGTCTGGTGCACATGTTTCAGACCCGGCAGTGGTCCGGGTGGAGGCTGCTGAGGTTCCAGTGATTTGCTCCCCTCTGGCCCGGCCGTCGGTTCCCTCCAGCCTGCTGGCCTTGTTCGGCAACCTGGAGCTGGCTGACCCTCCGGGTGATGGTGGTGAGCTCACTGTTGACATCCTCATCGGCCTTGATTACTACTGGCAGCTCATGGGCACTGGGTGTCTGAGATCTGATCTGGGTCCTGTAGCGCAGCAGACCGTGTTTGGGTGGATCATATCTGGGCAGTACGAGTGTGCTAACAGTCAGAACTCGAGTGGTACCCAGTTGCTGGTGATGTCTGATGTCTCTGAGGAGAGGCTCAGGCAGTTCTGGGATCTGGATGCAATAGGCATCAAGCCTCTAGATGATGACATAGGCTCTGACCCAGTGTTAAAGGAGTTTGAATCATCAGTTTGTTTTAAGGAGGGTAGATATGAGGTCAAACTACCATGGAAGCCTGATGGGCAGGATAAGTTGATGGACAACAGAAAAACAGCAGAGGTTAGACTACGCAGTCTCACTAGGAAGCTAGAGAAAGACCCCCAGTTGCAGTCCGACTATGACCACGCTCTAGAGGAGCTTGAGGCAGAGGGGATTATTACTGAGGTGTCCTGTGATGCCGACGATGCTTTCCCTGTGTTCTATCTGCCTCACCGGCCAGTAGTCCGTCAGTCGAGTGTGACCACTAAGGTGCGTCCTGTGTTTGATGCCAGCGCAAAGGGTCCGAACTTAGTTAGCCTCAATGATTGTCTAGAGACTGGACCATGTCTGCTCCCTGATTTAGTTCAGGTGCTCTTGCGATTCAGACGCTGGAAGTTCGCTGTGTCAGCTGATATCCGAAAGGCATTTTTGATGGTGCAACTCTGTGACAAGGATCAGGAGGTCCACAGGTTCCTATGGCAGCATGGGGACAGGATCAGAACTATGAAGTTCTGTCGTGTCACGTTTGGGGTGAACTGTAGCCCGTTTCTTCTCTCAGCTACCATTCGTCACCACCTCAAGGGGTTTCCTCCTTCCAACACTGTCTCTGAATTGGAGGAGAACTTGTATGTCGACGATTTTCTGAGTGGTGCTGACACTGAGCCTGAGGCTTGCGGTCTGTTCGCTGAGGCTCGTGATGTGTTGGGCCAAGCAGGGATGACACTGACGAAACTGAACTCGAACAGCAGGGTAGTGCTGGACAAAGGTCCAGCCTTGTCGAGTCTTGATGGTGAAAGCCACAAAGTGTTGGGTGTTCAGTGGGATCCGTCACAGGATGTGTTGTCGTTTGAGGGTGTGGATATCCCATCAGACATTGCTGTGACAAAGCGAGTGATCCTGTCTTTTATAGCCAGGCTGTTTGACCCACTGGGTCTGCTCACGCCCTACATCATGACTGTGAAACGCCTCTTTCAGGAGACGTGGCGTTTGGGACTTGACTGGGATGACAATGTGCCTGAACATGTGAGAGTCAGGTTCCTGAGGTGGCTCGATGGGCTGAGCTATGTAAAGAGTATCAGTGTGCCCCGTTCGTACTGTGTGAAGGGGTGGCATGATGTACACGTTGTTGAAGTCCATGCATTTGGTGATGCTTCAGAGGTTGGCTATGGAGCTGCGGTGTGCCTGCGCCTGACACTGAGGGACGGCTCGGTGGTGACACCGCTGGTGATGTCTCGAGCCAGGGTGGCCCCGCTGAAGCCGGTCAGCTTACCCAGGCTGGAGCTGCTTGCCAGCCTGCTGGCTGCTCGTCTGCTCAGGTTTGTCTGTCGCGCTTTGAAGCTCCCCTCTGAGACTCTGTATTGGTGCTGGACAGACTCTATGGTGTCACTCGGCTGGATCAAAGGTGATCCATCCAGGTGGAAGCAGTTTGTGAAGAATAGAGTGATTGAGATTCAGAGTTTGACTGATCCTGCACAGTGGTCTCATTGTCCTGGTCAGGACAACCCGGCTGACCTGATCACGAGGGGTGTGTATGCTGAGGCACTGACTGACTCACCTTGGTTCTCTGGCCCCGACTGGCTGAGTGACTGTGCTGGTGCTGACTTGTTGAGTTCACCTGAGGTCTTGCTGCCAGAGTCTGAGCTGTTCTCAGCAGCAGAAGGTGAGCCGGCAGCAGCAGCTGTCGAGTCGGCCAGTGCTGACGTGTCGAGTTCTCCGGAGTCAGAGCTGTTCGTGGCAGCTGAGGGTCAGTTGGCAGCAGCAGCGGCCACATCTGACTGTTCGCAGCCTGTGTTTGAGGTAACACGCTTTTCCTCATTGACCAAGGCCATCCGTGTGGTTGGACTAGTGTTGAGGTTTATTGGGAGGCTGAAGGAGAGTAGGTCTCAGAGACTCTCCCAGGGTCGCCACCCTGCCTCCAGCTACCGCAGCCCTTCTTTGAGCTATGTTGAGTTGTCAGAGGCCAAAACATGTCTGATCAAAGTCACCCAGCTTCAGGCATTCCCTGACGAATGTCGAGCCCTGAATAAGGGCAAGTTTGTGGACGGAAAGTCTCGTATCGCGTCTCTACGTCCATTCGTTGATGACAAGGGCCTGCTTCGTGTGAGAAGCAGACTTGCGAACACTGATCTGACTCTGGGAGAAAAGTGTCCGATTTTGATTCCCAAGGGTCATCTTGCTGACCTCATGATCCGTTTCCAGCACGAGCTGCTCAAACACTGCGGTGTTGACACCCTCCTGACGACCCTGAGGAATGAGTACTGGATCGTTGGAGGGAGGAGAGCGGCCAAAAGGGTGAAGCGGGCCTGCACAGCGTGTCAGAGGCAAGATGCTGCTGCCCTCAACGCGCCAGTGGCGCCTCTACCGGCTCAGCGGGCTAGTAAGGCTCCGCCTTTCTCAGTGACGGGCGTTGATTTTTGTGGCCCGCTCTTCTGCTTGCCCAAGCAGAAGGTGTATGTCTGTCTATTCACATGCGCTGTAACCAGAGCTATTCACCTTGAGTTGACGGATTCCATGTCCCAGTCAGATTTTTTGCTGGCGTTCAGAAGGTTCTGTGCCAGACGTGGTACCCCTACGATGATGTATTCGGACAACGCCAAGACGTTTAGAGCCGCGGCTACCAGCCTGTTAGCTGAGCTGGGTCCGGCGGGCCCTGAGTGGAAGTTTATTGCCCCCCGCGCGGCATGGTGGGGCGGTCACTGGGAGCGGTTAGTTCGTACTGTTAAGAGCTCCCTGAGAAAGACTCTCGGCAGGAGCGTCCTCTCCAAGGTGGAGCTGGAAACGCTGCTTTTGGAGGTGGAGGCCTGTGTAAATTCTCGTCCACTAACCTTTGTCAGTGATGATGTGGACGGAGCTCGGCCTCTAACCCCGAGTCACTTTCTGTCCGGCAGAGTAGCCGGTGTTCGTGCGTTTGTGGTTGATGATTCGGACCAGGTTTCAGCGTCGTCCCTGACGGAGAGGGACGTTGAGCACCAGAACATGTTGGCGAAGTTCTGGAGAGTGTGGCAGACTGACTACCTCCGCAGCCTGCCGCATTCGGTTAGGAAGTTTAAGTCTCGTGGGAAGCTCCAGATAGGTTCCGTTGTTCTCATTCGGGAGGACAATGTCCCGAGGCTGCACTGGTTGATGGGAGTAGTAGAACACCTTCATCCGGGCAGTGATGGTGTCGTGAGAGCCGCCGACGTCAGGACGGCTCAGGGCGTTCGTACGCGGCCAGTACAGCGTCTGCATGACTTGGAAGTCTTGGATTAGGAGTAGCTCAAGTTCCGATGTACCGTGCCTTTGATGAAGCGTTGCGCGCATTGTCATCGTTGCGAGTGTTATTTTATCGTGTATATCGTCGTGTGTTAGTATTAAGTGAAGTGTCGTATCTCGTTTGCTGTTAGACCGTTAATGTATGTTACCGTTCTAACAGGCGGGGAGTGTTACCGAACGTGAAACCGCCGCCGATTTGGCGGTCGTGGGCGGCTGTTGTGTCCCCCTGGCGGCGCGCCTGGAAAGCTGTAGTTGGATCGCGAGAGTCGGTCGGTGGCGCCGAGTGGTCGGCCATGGCCATTGTCGTTGATAAGCGTGTGGGATATGCCACGTGTCGCTCTCGTATCGCAATCGTCGTATCGTATCGTGTCGATGTGTTCGGGTTGAAAATACGACCTAAAGCTAACGTCATTCGTTTCGTTTCGTAACAGTGGACTCTTTTAAATTATATTCAGATCATAATCATCAAGGGCATTGGGTTCATATGCGTACCGTGAAAGCGAACGGCTGCAATGGTCCACATTTAGGTACTGGTGAAGTTGCACCGGATTCCTGCATAGACCCGGGAACAGGGGGGGGGGCAGCGGGGGCGCTTGCCCCCCCCCCCCAACTTGAGAGCCGAGGGGGCGGCGCCCCCTCAACATTGAGGCAGCGCCCCCTCAACATTGAGGCAGCGAGAAAGGATCTTTCCTCTCTTTTCCGAACTTCTTTCCTTCTTGTTTCCTTTATACATCTAAACATCAAGACACGGCATTTCCCTTGCCATCTGAATAGTTTCTGCTGATACAGTATCGATTTGACAACATCTGCTATTGTCATCCCGCTTTGGTTTGGGCCTGACCTTGGCCATAGTTTGGCAGGCCAGATTTTATGCTGACCATTTTGAGTTAACTTTGAGAAATACATAACTTACAACGGTGGTAAAATCGTTGCTATGGGTATAACACAGTTTACCCGCTCCGGGTGTGAGGGAGGGGTGTGGGGCAATGGGTGCACTGACGTGGCGCCCTCGGATGGCCGGTATGGGATGCTCAGCGACACTAAGGGCTTGTCTGGTGCCTTCAGTTATCGGTAGCACCCTCAGAATCACCGGCGGAGGGCTCTCAGAGCCGCCGGTAAGGGGCCTTTAGAGGCACTGGTGTGGGGCCATGCAGGCATGCCGGTGTGGGCGCTCAGAGGTGCTAGTGTGATTCTCTCAGAGGTGCCGGTGAGGGTCCTTACAAGCGTTGCTGTGGGCCCTCAAAGACGCTGGCGTGGAGCCGTTACAGACGGATGTGGGGCCTTTAGAGCTGCTGACGTGAACCCTCTACAAGCCTGCAGGGGTTCTCAGTGACCGGCAAGGGGCCCTTAGGCCGACAGAAGAAGTCCTGTGGGGTCCTTGAGACCGGCATGGTACTGTCAGACGCCGGCGGTGCCCTCAGAGTCACCGGTGTGGGGCCCTCTGAAGGTCACCATTGGGTCCTCAGAGCCGCCAATATAGGGCTTTAATAGGCACTTGTGTAGGCACTCGGAGTTGGGGGGTGTGAAACCCTCAGAGGCACTGGTGAGGGTCCTCATAGGCGCCGATGAGGGCCCCCACAGTTACCGTTATGGGGCCCTCAAAAAAATAAGTGTGGGACCATCACAGGCGGGAAATGCCTCTAGAACTGGCCCCTCATTAGGCCGGTAAGAACTCTCAGAGGCCAGTAACGGGCCTTTGGAGACCACCGAGGGGCCCTTAAAAGCCGCAAGAGGCCCTCAGAAGCAGGCATGGGGCCCTTATGGAGATCTTAGTGTGGCTATTTGGGACCCCTGAGGTGCACTAACGAGCCCCATGGGGCCCTTCTGAGTCGAAATATGGCCACCGTTAACCCTCAGCGGTCAAATGGCGCCGCAGGGCCACGAGGTCCCTTTGAACCCGATGGGGGGGGGGTGCGTGTCCCCTTAGACCCCTAGCTACGCCACTGTTTCATATGTATCATGTCAGGTATTTTAGGCTCGCCCCCCCCCCCAACTTGAAAATCGTTCCCGGGTCCCTGGATTCCTGCGATAACTGACAGGTCCGTCGAATGTCTAACAGCGACTCTGAGCACTTCTACATAGATGACATGCAGATGCGGTTCAACGAAAGCCGAAATTTCCCCGGGAGAAAGAGAGAAAGCGAGATCCAATGCTTTCAGCCTTAAGTTCAGATCTTGTACCGTGTGTAAACGTCAATCAAGAGAGCTGTCGCGTATGCTCAAAGTTTCGGTGCTGACGAGTGGCGACTTCCCTATAGGGAAGTCGCCACTCGTCAGCACAAGTCAGTTCGTCAGCACTCGTCAGTTCACAAGCTATAGCTTGTGAAGCTACTCAGTGGGATGCTAACACGAGAGATGTGTGTGAGATCGTCGCTGGAGCTTGGATGAGAGGCTGACTGCGGGCACCGTACGCTATTGAAAGGTGTCTGGTACGTGACCTGGGTGTGAGTGGGTTGCCGTCTGCGTCAGCATTCTGCACGTAATTGGTCGTGGAAGTGAGATTCACTGACCGCATTCGAGGTCATGTGTCTTCATGGCATGGAAAAGGGCTGAGTTATGTTCGCGTAGTTGTTGAGCTGATGAGATGCGCTCGCACAACACAGCCGTCGGTCGCTGAATCTACGTAGCGTTGCTGACAATGTCTAGCACTGATGCAATGCCTCGCTCCGCGTCATTTCTGCGTTTCATGTCAACATGAAGATTAGTAAAGCCGGAATCAGTCATTATGTGTTAACGTATAGTATCTGGCCGGACGCCGGGCTTAGAGTCAGGACCGATAGGGTTGATACTAGAGTTGCAAAGTTTTCCCAATGGGCTGCTACCGGCACCGCCCCGCCCCACAAACATTTTCTGAGATACCGGCATGCTACCACGCCCCAAGCAAAAAAACCGTCAAATTACCGGCATACTAAAAAACCTGCATTCTTGATTTTGGCTTACCCCTACATGAGATGCCACATTTTGGCAATTTCAGTAACCGCCCCACCCAACCATAGGCGCGGGAGCCGGGGGGGCAGTGGGGGCAGCTTGCCCCCCCAACTCTGGGGCCGTGGGGGCGGTGCCCCCACAGCTTTGAGACGGAATACCACACTTTTTTTTGCAAATGTTTTCTTTTTTTGTTGAAAAAGCCGAGGGGTGAAAAATAAGTGGCCTAAAACCGGTGAGAAAACTAGATTTGGGGGTACCCTAGGTTAATCTCTATTATGGTGTGCCCCCCCAGTCGGAAAGTAGTTCCCGCGCCCCTGCACCCAACAGCCACCCATTGTCCAACTTATTACAATTCAATAGCCTCTTAATGCCCAAAGTTTGAATCATATGCTGATAATTTTTTTTTTTGTGCAAAATCAAAAATACCGGCATGCTACCGGCAAGACATGCCAGATACCACGAAAAAACCTGCGGTAGTGAAAAATTACCGGCATGCCGGTAGTGCGGTAAGGAAATTTTGCAACTCTAGTTGATACCTATGTCTGAACTCGCGTCTATCGGGTTTATATGGCTGTTTCGGCCGTTCGTCGAGAACCATGTCTTAAAAAGACGATTTGTTACCCTCAAGTTGGCGTGATTCGGTCACATGACTCGCTGTCACCCATGGGATCATAGTTAGGATCCAGCGTCGAGCTCTTTTGAGACAGGATGTGGATATATTTCACCGCGTCGGGAGAGGAAATATGACACCCTGTCATTAGTAGCGCTTCAGCCCTCGCTGCGACCCCCCGCTCTGTGCCTGTCATCACCTCATGGTCAGGTGACCCAACCCTACCGTGACGACAATGACCCATCCTGGGCGCCCTCCAACTGCCGGCCGGCGCCCCCGGACCTCACGGGTCGGTCATCGCCACCCCGCCGAGCCGGGACGACTGGGACACCACCCGCGGGCGGCGCCATTCGCCGGCTATTTCCGTGCCCACCTCCCGCCTGGCCACAGTGATAAAACGAACCACCGCCTCTGCTGGACGTTGAGAGGTGCAGGCCAGTCTGAGGGCAGTCTGAGAGCGGTCTGGGGAGCTCCCCCGCCGCCCCGCGGCACCGCCCGGCCGGCCGCCAGCCCGTCAGCTGACTGCGGGGCGCCTGTCCACGGACCCGGGCACCGCCCCGGGGCAGAGCCGAGCGTGCCAGTGGGGAGAGCTGTGCTGTCCTGAGGAGCGCAGAGTGGAGGAGAGCCACCCTCGGGCCCGAGAGGACTGAACCGGATTGTGATTGTTTTGTTTGTGATACAGTCAGGATAGACGGAAATCCGTATGCCCATGGCGAAGACTCGTGACGATAACAATCGTAAACGGTCTTTGCCTTGATCTGGTCTTTCGCAACTCGAAGTTCTTTGCGATATTCAGAAGAAACAGGGATTACGCGGTCATAAAGTGAGCTGACAACGTTTGATAACCGTCATAATTCGGTGATTATTTGAGACTCAGCAAGTGATAGCTTGGACCTAGTTCAGTGATACGGTAGTTGCGAGAAGAAAAAAAACTTGTGATAATCGATCCTTCAAATCGCGCGTCATTTAAAGGGACCCTCCCACCTTCAAAAAAGTTAATGAATTGGCATGAAAGTGATGTCCCTTGGTTCAGAAAGAGCGAAAACGAATATCTACCAAATTTCACCGAAAAATATTCACTGGTTTTCAAGATATTAGGCTTTTACTTTTGTTTACTTTTTGGGATCTCCCTCTTACTAGCGACTTTATTTGGAAGCAATAATTTGGCAGCCTTAAAGTGCGGCAGACGTTGCGCGCAAAGCAGCGTATACCACCAAGTGTTAACGATGGTTTTAGTCTAAGATTTAAAAATCGTTAGATCTCCGCTGACGTCACAAATACTAAGGGGGCATACCAATGCATTAGCCCCTTAGAATCCGAAAACTGCAAGTTTGAAATTCCATATCTTCGAATTAAAGCATTTCTCGATGTTGTGAGTGCCCAAACCGGTATTTGCAGGCCATGGCCACCAATTTGGCTATCTCAACTCAAAACTAATGTTAAGGTGGGAGGGTCCCTTTAAACGATCTACGGGATTGACAAGCGTCTTTGAAAGCTTGTGAGGCAGCATTGGCATTGATTGAGCTGTGAACATTTGCTGTGATTTCAGTCCGGGTGATAATCGCTGTGTTTGGCCTTATACATCCTGACGTGCGCTCTTTGAAGCTCGTTTAGGAAACTACATTTCCGCACTTTCGCCGTAGTTTGTGATCGCCTTTTACGTAGCAATAAGCGCCAACAAAACCCGTCGCGTAAGATCGAAGGCCGGATCGCATTTCCCCTGGGTTGCCCGCACACTATGAACTGCGACTGGGGCGAGTCTGACAGCTCCCTGGCGCTGTCGGACGCGGGCGAGGAGGAGTTGTTCTCCTCTGCATCCTCCTCGTCTGAGGGATCGTACGTGTCGGCGCCGCGCGCTCCAGAGGCCGCCCTGA